AAGGGGCTGCAAACCCCATGGAGACGGTGTGACGGAAGGAAAAGGGACCCCAAACCTCATGGAGACACCGTGGTAGCAGGAAAAGGGGCTGCAAATCCCACAGAAAGGCCGTGACAGGAGGCAAAAGGGGTCCCAAACCCCACACAAAGATGTCGTGGAAGCAGGGAAAGGGGCCTCAGGACGTTTCAGGAGCAGTCCCCAGGATCACCTCACGCTTCCCTGTGCAGGGAAGGCAAAGCCTTGGGAGCTGAGGGCACAGATCCCAACCTGCACAGCCAGGACAGGACCCTGCTCCCCCCAGGGGTGGGATGGTGGGTCTGGTGCCCAGCTGGGCCAGGCAGAGCAGCAGGGAGGGAGCAGGGAAGGGGCTGCTCCGTGTCCCAGCCCAGGGCTGGCGGTGCCGGGCACACGCGGTCCCGGCACGAGCGAGGTGCTGGAATTCTGAGCCTGTTTTCCTGCAGCTGTGCCAAGCATTGTACTGAGATGTTTCCTCTCCGTCAGAGGAGCACAAGGAGGGCCCTGTGGAGCTGGAGCGTGACACGGGCACGGGAGACAAACACGGAAGGAGGATGCCAGAACAGGTCGGACCAGGGATCTGTCAGTGCCACCTCCCAGTCACCCCCACAGCCTCCCTCCCTCCCAAACCCTCCTGCTCTGGGATGCTTTGCCTCCCAAAAGAACCCCCTCCCGTTCTGTTTGTGGTGTGAGCTCCGGGGCAGCTCAGTGCCTGCTGGGATTCGTCCACAACAGACCCCAACTGCGACAACCAGGGAAAAACAACACAGGGCTGTGCCCAGGCCTTTGGGAAGGGGCAATCCATGGGGGCAGGCGAAGCTGCCAAGCCCCCTGGACACTGGAGCACCGAGCACGGCCTGATTTGGGGCGATCTGGGGCTCATCTGGATCCCTGAGCCAGCGGCTCCTGCATCCCATCCCCGGGGAGCAGCAGGGCCGGGAAGGGAACAAAGCTGGACTCCTGTCAAGTCCCTGCTGGTCCCTCTCTCGGAGGCGCTTCCAAAGGAGCTGGAAGCCCTGTCACTTCGGATCAGCCGCTCCAGGCGCCGGGCCCGGCTCAAAGTGACAAAAGTTAAGGACATCTGTGGGGGATAAATAATAAATCACCTCACGCCGGGGCCGCCGCCGCCCCCTCCCCCCCTCCTACAGCACTTTGCACTTAGGCAGCCCCCTCCTCCCAACTTTCACAGCGCTTTAAAATCACCCTGGGAGGCTCCAGGGACCCGATCCCGGGATGCCGAGGGGCCAGGGCGGGGTGTTGGGACACGGCAGGACATGGGGACACGAGGACATGACAGGACACAGGGATATGGGGACACGGCAGCCCTGGTGCAGCTCATCCATCATTAATCCCAGCCTTCCCAAGGAGGTTTAAGCTTGGTTTGGAACACACACACACCCCCCCGCCATCCCAAACCATCCAGGCACCACGGATTCCCGAGGGAACACCACAGCACCGTGGGGCAGGAATATTGGAAGGCTGAGAGCAGGGCCTGGATGAGAGGGAGCGGAGCAAGGCGGCTGTTCCTGGGTGGCAGATGAATTATTGAGCTCCCTGGTGCTGTATGATGCATTCCAGCATCCTCCGCATCCCGCTCGCTCCCGCAGCCGGGAATGGGGGGGGGGGGTCAGCCGAGGGTCGGGCTCTGCTCCCAGGGAATGAGGACGGGGCCAGAGGGAGGAATTCCTTCATGGAAAGGGCGGTCAGGCACTGGAAGGGGCTGCCCAGGGAATGGTGGAGTCCCCATCCCTGGAATGTTCACAAACACAAAGCTGTGGATGCGGCCCGTGGGGATGTGGGTTAGTGGTGACAATTAAGGGTTGGACTTGGTGGCCTTGGGAGGGCTTTTCCAGCCTAAATGACTCCATGATCCTGCTCCAGCAAGGGGCACACAGGGCGGACACTGCAGGGACCCCCCAGAGCTTCTCTGCCTCAAAAAAGGGGATTTTTGGACTCTGAGGGAGGATTTTTGCTGGTGAAACCTCCTGGTTCGGGGATCAGGAGGCGACAGGGGCTGCAGGGACCAGGGGTGATTCCATATGGGCAGGGAATCCCAGTGGGAAGTGAGGATGGAAGAGAGGTGGAGGGTTGGGATCCTGATCCAATATCCAGCACCAGCAGGCAGGGAAACACCCCCAGCCCGGTGCCACCACCCCAGAACACCCCCAGCCCG